CAGATACAGAGAGGGACAGAGAGGGACAGAGAGAAGGAGAAAGAGGGAGAGGGACAGAGAGAGGGAGCGAGAGAGAGGGAGGGAGAGAGAGGGAGATAGGGAGGGAGAGAGGGAGGGAGAGAGGGAGGGAGAGAGAGGGAGGAAGAGAAAGAGAGAGACAGAGAGAGAGGTGCGGGGATGGTAGCACCAGGAGAAGGAGGGGGAAAAGGAAGAAGAGAAGAGAGAAGTGAGGCAGGGTATCACACCGCCGACATAGCAAAAACGCCATCTAAAGCACCGTTCAAAAACCAAATGGCCACAGGCGACGCCAGCGCCAGACCAACCAGCGCCTTGCGGCGATATCGCGCACCAAAGGCGGCCTGCGGGCCCCGCCGCCTGCCGGCCCCTTCATCCCGGTCCTGACCACAATATCGATCTGGGGCCGGGGCGGGCTGGGCTGCGCCGGGCAGCGCGGCCGTCATCAAAGGGTCGGGACCGGACCAACCCGCTCCGCCCGCCCTCGCGGGCCCGGGACCGCCGCCCGCCGGCCAGAGATAGGTCCCGACCGCATAAATCGCTGCAAGGAGGCGGCAGGGAAAGAGAGAGAGAGCAAAAGAGAGAGAGAGAGAGAGAGAGAGAGAGAGAGAGAGAGAGAGAGAGAGAGAGAGAGATGGTCCGCGGCGGAGATCGGGCAAGCGCACGGGCGGAGCACGGAGCAGAATATGAAAAATTCAGATGCCATCGTACCTTTGCCGTATTTACCTTCTCTTTCTCGCGCAAATGCACGGTCGGCCCCGGTGCAGGCGCCGAACCCTGTGCTATACGCCCCCTCCCCTCTCTGTTTGGGCGGCAAAAGTGTGGAGCTAAGGGACAAAAAAAGGGGAGAAACATTCTGGAAGTACACGAACACACAAGGCGCCGACCGCAGGGCAGGGCCGGTAGGCCGCCAGTCGCGCTCTCACTCCCGCGCTTGCCCTGGCTCCGTGCAGTATTCATGTTGGAAGGGGCGGGACCAGGCGGCAGAAACACGCTCAAGTGGCCAATGGACTCATTTTACTGCAGCTTCAGAGGCGGTTTCAATTGAAAAAGAAGTATATTGCGACACATGTCAAAAGAATTGATGCGCATTCTTTGGTATAGCACTAGTGTCAAATGACTTTCTATATTGCCCTTTTTATTTTAATTACGAGCCGACAATCGGATTGCTCGCCAGTAGCCAACTAAACGAGCGCATAATGACAGGAGTCCGATCCACAGTATACTAAGCAGTGCAAGTTAAGGATTCTTAAGAAAAGGTTCCTTATTGTTTGTAATTGTCAGATCCCCATGACCTGTGTGCTCTTTTTATCAGAAACCTAACGAGGAATTCGATGGTCTCCGAAATGAAATGAAAGTGATTACTTAGCAAATATTGCGCAAAAACCTAGGTTCCTAGAATGAATCAGTTGGTGTCACAAGTCTGACACTGGTTATTTCAGTTGCCTGTTGAGTTGGCTGCAAATCTATGTTCATTTCGCCTACTTTTAGGCGTCTCATCTGAGGATGACAGAGAGCAGGGGTAAAAGGGGGGCCCCAGACCCTAAAAACCGTTATATTGCGCAGCTTACAGCTCGAGAAGAGTGTACGTGTGTGTGCGAGACAGACAGAGAAATGTGTGGAAGAGATAAGAGGGAAAGTGTAGGAGCCAGAGTGAGAAAGTGAGCGACGGAAAAATAGGGAAAGGGAGGAGAGCGAGACGAATAGACACATCAGGTACGGGAGGCTGTTGTGTGAGGCCGCGACTGCGTCGAAACACTGAGAAACACAGCAAACTTTTTTCTGTGCAGTCCCGGGTTGATTCGGGAAAGCACTTCCTAAAAACGCGTATTTGAGGGATTTTTGAAGGCAAGCCTGTCAGAAAACAAATCTGAGGACGGCCCAATTTAATTTCTACCTGCAAGACTCACAAACAAAAAAACGAAATAAGTAAAATACAAAAATTCGTTAACATGCTCTGCGAATGCGCGAGAGAAAACCGGGAACTTTTTTTCCAAAAACAACCGGTAAAATGTTGGCTGTGGAAGTAAACTCCGTCCTAGCACTAGACGGTTGTCAAATGCGTCTCACCTTGGTCCAGGCACTAAAGTCTATGGGTGAGTGAGTCAACAGAGATGTGCAGTGCAGCCCAGCAAAGAAACATTTGACATTTAGTCCTAGAGCAAAACTTTAAGGCTACGGCGGGACTAAATGTTAAGTGCCCACGACCATATTATTTTTTCTCAGTGCAACATCCGCGCTCAGCCCTCCGACACACTGCCACCGCCGCCTCTCCAAGGTAATGATGTTTAATTTGTTTTTAGGAAAAAGGGAAAACTTTGAGGAACTCCCCTGGTATGACAAAAACTCCTCAGATTTCAAGGAAGTCACCTCAAAAAATGTGGGACTTTTTTTGAGGTTTTTGAGAAGATTCCTTAAAATCTGAGGCGGGATCGGAAGATTCTTCCTCACATGGGAATTCCTCAAAATTTTTCCTTTTTCCTCAAAAA